GAGTGATATTTGCCTTCCTCCGGTCCTCAGGTACTTCTCCTGTTCTCCATGACCTTTCATAAATGATGTAGAGTGGTTCAGCGATAACATCTGCCAGCTCTCTCAGCACTTGTGGGTGCACTCGTGGGCACATAGACTTATGGATGTCTAGTTTGGCCAAGTGGTCTCTAACCTAGTCCTCCCCAACAGAGGGAAAGTCTTCCTCTCTCCAGACCATCCCCCTTGCCTCCAGGGTCTGGGACTCCTGAGGGGCAGCCTTGGCAGTGAAGACAGAAGCAAAGAAGATATTCAGCAGCTCCGCCTTCTCTTTCTTCCACCACCAAGGCACCCACCTCATTCATCAGTGGGCCTACATTTTCCCTAGGCTGCCTTTTTTTTATTGATATACTGAAAAAAAACTCTTCTTGTTATCTTTAACTGTGGTGGCCAAGCTAAGTTCTGCTTGGGCTTTCGCCCTTCTAATTTTTCCCCTACATATCTTCACTACACCTTGATATTGCTCATAACTAACCAACCCCTTTTTCCAGAGATCGTAGAATTTCCTTTTCTCCCTGAGGTTCAGCGAAAGCCCTCTATTTAGCCAGACCGGTCTTCTTCCCCGTTTGCTCATTTTATGGGACCTGGGGATGGCCTTCTCCTGTGCTTTTGAGAGTTCCTCCTTGAAGTATGACCAGCCTTCCTGGGCACCTTTGCCCTTTCAGGACTGTCTCCCAGGGGACACTCTCAACCATGTTCCTAAGCAGGCCAAAATCTGCCTTTCAGAAGTCCACGGTGGCAGTTCTGCTCGCTCCTTGTCTTACTTCTGCAAGAATTGAAATCTCTATGATCTTGTGATCATTCTGCCCAAGACAACCTTGAACCTTTACATCCCCCACAAGACCTTCTCTGTTAATAAGCAGCAGGTCCAGTAGGGAGCTATCCCTGGTTGGCTCACTCACAAGCTGTGTTAGGAAGTTGTCTTCCACACACTCTAGGAACCTCTGGGACTGTTCCCTCTCTGCTGTGTTATATTTCCAGCAGATGTCTGGGAAGTTGAAGTCCCCCACAAGAAAAAGGGCAAGTGATTGCAAGAGCTCTTCCAGTTGCTGATAGAATATTTCATCAACTTCTACATCCTGGTTTGGGGGTCTGTAGTAAACTCCCACCATGATGTCTGTCTTGTTGGCCTTCTCCTTGAGTCTGACCCATAAACATTCTACACTGTTATTCCCATTATTAACTTCTAGGCATTCGAATCTGTCTCTAACATAGAGGGCCACCCCACCACCTTTCCTTCCTTGTCTATCCCTTCTGAAGAGTTGGTAACCATTGATTGCAGCACTCCAATTTTGTGAGTCATCCCACCATGTTCCTATATTGTAGTTTTCCTGCAGTACAATGGCCTCCAGCTCCTCCTGTTTGTTGCCCATACTGCGTGCATTTGTGTAGATGCACTTGAGCTGGGCTCCTAATTTCATCCCCATCCTTGTCCCTTTTGCCCCAGGTTCGTTACCATTGGGTCTGGTTCTATCCCCTTCCCCCTTCACATCTAGTTTAAAGCCCTGTGCAAGAGTTTTTCCAGCTCTTGGCCTAACACCCTTTTTCCCCTTCAGGGTAGGGTTTTCCCATCATTCTCAAGCAGACCTGGTGTCCTGTAAATCAAACTATGGTCTGAATACCCAAAGCCTTGCTGGTAGCACTAGTTACAGAGCCATGTATTGATCTGCCTGATCTTCTTGTTTGTCCATTCATTGGTCCCCAAAACTGGAGGGGCAGAGGAGAACACGATTTGTGCTCCTGAACCCTTGACTAGCTGTCCTAGAGCCCTAAAATCTTTTTTCATTGCCCTCAGACTACTCCTCACCCATTCATCATTATCGACCTGTAAGACCAAGAGGGGATAATAATCTGAGGGCTGTATCAGGCCAGGAAGCTTCCTGATAATATCCTTAACATAGGCCCCTGGGAAGCAGCAGACCTCCCTTTGGGAAGGATCTGGTCTGCATATGGGACCCTCAGTGCCCCTCAGAAGAGAACCACCTATAACTATTGCCCTCCTTTTTTTCTTCATGGGGACAGTCTTAATACATGGAGCTGGCTGCTTCCACAGCTCCCTGGATGGAGTCAGACTTATGAACATACCACACAAAATACGTACATGTAAGTGTATGTTCAAAGTCTTCCTCTCAAGGTGTAATAAGCTTCTTGAAGGGCTTCTTTCTCATTAGCTTCATTAAAGAGTAAGTAGTAACAGTGATCCATGCAAAACAGGATCCCTAAGGCCGAAGCTCTCTATATTCACTATTTGAAAACTGTTCTGTCAGAAAATTCCCAACTCACTCCAATTTTAATGTTTTAATAATTATAATGACCAGTTCAAAAACACAGCGCTGATTAGAAATAAACCACACTGCCTAGGAAATGTAATCTGCAACATGAAACCGTCTGTGATTTGAATTTTTTAAAATAGGCTGTTGGGCTGGTCATTTCAATTAAATCCACAGAAAATACATTAGATGAAATGATACAGCTCATGCAAAATACCTGCATTAAGTCTATTGAAATTCATGGGTTCTTATTATTTCAATGAAGGTGTGATGATATTTAGAGTTGGTTCACTTATGAAGCTTACTTGAACGTGAACCTTCAGGCAGAAATATTTTCTCTTTAGTATCTGTTAAGGCTTGGCATTGTGAGAATTTTTATCACAAAAAAGGTCATTGAGATTTACAATCATGCACGTATTTCTTGCTGATATTACTAGTACTATTGCATTCATGTATGTATTTTACCCTATAACATCCAGAGATTCTTTATCTTTTATTTATCATCTAACTCTTATACCAAGCCATGGTACAGCTTGGGTACCTGAATAAGGACTTAAAAATATATATGTTTAAATGTCAGGCATTGCTATTGTTTCTGTGGGTGAGGCTCAGCTAGTCACTTAACTCCTATGAGTTGGATTTTTAAAAACAGTAAGGATTCAAAAAGGATTTTTAATGTTTGATGGAATTTTCCTTTGCCCTACAGTATGTTAAAGGTATTATTTGCATTGATTTCAGTTTTCCAAGTCCCATTAGGAAATATGTGCGTCTTCAGGAACCAAAATACTTTTGCTTTTGGACAAAACTTAATGCAACATGTAACCCTAAAAGCCGCTGCTGTACCAGTTTAATTGGAGATCAGCCAGTTCAGTTCAGAGAGAAATGGATATGCTGTTTGTGCTGTTTGCATGTGAACATGCATCTGCACAGAGGTCCTTCCACAGAAGTCTGAAAGCAACTGCTTATTAATGTAACTTTCTGAGGGTATCACTAGAAGTGTTCATGCAAAATGTAAGTCAAGCTCTACTTTCAGGCATCTCCACTGTTGTGGAGAGTGAAAGGAATGGAATTATTTCACTGGCTTGAGAACAGACTGTATCATGCGTATTTCCTGATATATTGTCTTGATGTATTATTGAAATTAAGGAAAGTGTTGCTCCTATAACTTTCCTCAGCACAATAAGAAGACAAACCTGATTGTCTTTTCAGTCTGGTGTTGTCCCTGAAAGCAGGTTCAGCTTACAAATTTTTAAGCATTGTCAATCTTTTCTTAAAGAGTAGACTAGGCTAGCCCTCATTTTATGGTAATATTTGACAATTTTCTGTACAATTACAAGATACCTCGCAGGGTGGTTCAGAGTGACAGTCCACGCTTCCAAAATACATTTGTCACATTTCTCACCTAACATTGCTTTAAGTGAGTAGAGTTTATTTGAGATCTCTAAGGAGAAAGTATCTAATGGAAAAACTTTGTAAGCTGAAAGACATTAAAAAATGTCCGACTGTAGCAGAGACTGCACACCAGTTTATTATATCACTACTTTTCTGCCAAGGGCCAAGTTACCCAAGAGCACTTAATAAAAACAGATGATCTGAAGCTGACATTGCAGACAGACTTACTACCTTATCTCCAGGTTAGAGTGATAGTATTGGCTTGCGCTTAAAATCATGCCTGACAACAATGTCAGTGAACCCTCTGCCAAAGCAATGAAAGGATTTTACTTCAGTATCATTTTCAGCGTAACAACATGGTTACTAAGAGATTTCTACTCAGTTTAGCAAATCACACAGAATTGTAAACTAAAATTATTGTCTCATAAAATGACTAATTATATAAATGCTGAGAGAACTACAATTATTATTTCTAATATACTATCTGAATACTTCCCCAAAGAGAAAGCTCTCTCTGCTGTTCTTATGGAGTGATCATTGTAATTTTCTTTTATGGTACTATGGAAGACCAAAGTTGCTTTCCTTCTGTAGGTGGTAACAAGCAATAGACTGATTCACTTAGAAATGTCAGATTTTTCCTTCATATCTATAGGGGACTCTATAGGGGACTGAGGTCCTTTGTGATCTGATTTCTTGGTCCCCAATTTTCTGATTTCTTAGTTAGGACTGTGACATATTAATATATTTATTGCCTGCCAACAAAGCATTGGGACTACAATTCAACAGTAACGTGGAAATGTGTTCAAGCGTCACTACAGAGAAGCTGATAATTTTTTTGCAAGCTTGAAACTCAAAGAGTGTATCAAAGATTTCATTAGATTATGCATTATGCCTGCTGCCACTTAAGTCATGCTACGTACTACTGAATCACCATGTGAAATACTGTTGTAGAGGCTTCTGTGTATTGAAGTAGATGATACAAGGCTAACCTTTTTGTCATTTCTCTTTTCCTGTGCAAACATATTTGTTTATTTTCTGAAAACGCTATTGCTACAGTCTTGATTACTTTTATGAGAATGAAGTTTAATAAATTTTATGCTGTTTCTGTGACATAAACCAACCATATTTGACTATAATTAAAGGTAACCAAAGTCAAGGGTCCTTCTGATGTATGTGCAGAAAAGGAAGAGTGTTATTGGTTCCCTGTCCACCTAGTATTTTTAAGTTAATTACTTTATTTTCCTTCTTATATTAAATCAATATAACAATGATTTTTATGCTATTGTTTCTTTCCTTCCCCAGATGTACATCCAGACAACAACACTTACTGTCTCCATGAGTTTAAGTGCTTCTGTGTCTCTGGGCATGCTCTACATGCCCAAGGTTTATATTATCATTTTTCATCCAGAGCAGAATGTTCAAAAACGGAAGCGGAGCTTCAAGGCTGTAGTGACAGCTGCCACAATGCAAAGCAAACTGACCCAAAAAGGAAATGACAGACCGAATGGCGAAGTCAAAACTGAACTGTGTGAAAGTCTTGAAACCAACAGTAAGTCATCTGTAGACTTTCCCATGGTCAAGAGTGGCAGCACTTCCTAATAGATGTACGTTCACAAGAATGCACTTTTTTTTTTAATAATAAACTTTATTCTTTTTGTTGCTTGTTCTGCATGAATCCACAGATGTGTCAGAATTCATGTACTGCTGAACACAGGAATGCCTGGAGTTGTTTCAAACAAATTGTTTTTCACAGGAGGCTAGTAAAAATAAAACAAACAAACAAAAAGCACAGGCAGATTTTGGAAAGCCACATCTTTTTAAAATGTTTTAGCTAGTGCTAATTTGATGTGTTGTGCATTGCTGTACCAGTTGTGGTATGTCCTGACAGTTCATAAGGTGTATTTATGGTCATCATTGTATATTCAAAACTCAAAGGCTGTTGGAAAAAAAAAAGAAAACAGTTAATATTGTTTTTATTTTGCAGTTAGATATGGAAGTGAAAATACGGCTTTTACCTTTCCACCTTAACTTAATATTTGTTACCGTGTTAATTTATCACAACTCATGATTACTAATGCTACCCAGAATAACGTTTCCCATCCAGGTATTCATTGTGGTCTTACTTACGTTGGAACAAAATCATGATAATTCATATACAGCTTAATCATTACATGTTGCAATGTGTCATGGGTTAGTAATGGGAAAAAGTTCTTTCCCATGCCAGAAAAGTTCTTGAATCTTGCCACATCTCTAAATTGCTCTGACATAGAATAAAGGAGAGGTGATTGATAGCTTCCATTCCACTATATTATATACAGTATTGTAAAATGGAATTAACAATAGTAATAATCAAATATGAGTAGAGCTGGTAACTTTACACCCAGAGCTTAGTAGTCATGGACAATTTATTTCTATTGAGGAGTCAGAGGTCACATGGGATGGCCAGCAGCTGTTACAGTTAAAGACAACTTCTTCAGTGATTTTAGTGTAAATGAGGAGTTTTTTTTTAATTTTTATTACTTTGTGATGGTGTTGACAGGAGATTGAATAGTATTGTTTTGCTTGAACACATTAGAGAAGCCAGTACCAAGTTTGCTTGGAAAAATATTGTATTATTGCAGAAAAATTGAAACCCTCACTGAATTCAATCGGAGTTTTTCAGATTGAAGACTATATAAAAGTCCCTAAGTTTACCATACAATGCATGGAGGATATGGAGTGCAAACCTACTCACTTGAAAAACTCATGAGCCTTCAAAATGTGTAAATCTGCTAGACTGAGCTATGGTTTTATACAGATTCATATTATGACATATAACAAAGGACAAAAAAAGAAAGGCAATGAAATTCATTGCAGATCAAATAATAGCATGGAAGTATGAAGAACTCAGTAATTACTCAAATCTTCAGAAATCACAAAAAACAATTCATAAGGGAAAGAGGTAGATTTTACTGAGTTTGCAAAATTATAAACTTCTGAGAAAAGGTCAAAGGGTGAGAAACTAGGGCAAGAAAGAGTGTTAATAAGAAAGACTTGGGTATCTGATGTTTATCTACAGTGCCTAATTAAGAAATGCTGTGTCTAGTATTCCTTAAACTATGATTATGCATAATTCATGAAAACAGCTGCTACTGGAAGCAAGTCTGCTTCTCCAGTAGTGTGATGTATGCAGGATAATGTTTATTTACTGGGCTCTAAACATGGTTTTAACAGTAGCATATCTATATAATTCTGAGCTCCCTAGGAGTATATTCTGACTAGGCTTTGATCCAGGCATTATAATGCTTCATAGGCAAAAATTCAGAGTCAAGTCATTTGCACTCCAGAGAGCTGTCCCTATAGAATTGAGCTCTTGGCCTGAAGGTGGGTTTCCCTCTTCCGCCAAATTGTTTTGTGCTATTTGGATTTAATCAGCTTCCCTCTTTTCTGCCAAAATAGTTATTATCAAAACTTTTGGATGTTCCTGTGAATTATCAGTGCACAATGCCACATAAGTCCTTTTCACTAAGACAATAGTAACAACCTCTCAGCATTGCAAAATTTATTCTTGTGCTGACTCCATGTGAGATAGATCTTTCTTTCCAGTAACAGTATATGAAGCTGATTGCAAAAAATCAGGCTATTCCTGGTATACCAGTAGCAGTAAGTACCTCCCAAGCACAAATACTGGTAGTGATAACAACACTTATAATTAGGTAAGAGATAAGATCAGACATTAAGATCATCCAGAGAGAACTCTGCTCTGTCTGCTTTGTCCTGTTTCATGTAACAGACATTATTCTATGTTGTCCCACACATTAATATAGTCATGTTTTTTTTATGGAGATAAATTCGTATTCAGTGGAAAACAAATTGTATGTGGGAAACAGGATGAAAAAACTCCCAAAAACATCCAGATGCAATTACAGATGGCATAACAATGAGAAGTACTTTAAATGCATATAGGTCAGATCACAATGATAATTCTAAATTGATTTAGATCCTCTTTTATTTTACTATTTTTATTTATTTATTTATTTTATCATTCAAACAGCAGTGTAGTAACTGCAGCTAGAAAAGAGTGTTCATTCCCAGAAAATAATTCAGCCAAGTCTGTTACTTTTTGTGGCCATCTATGCTTGCCAAATATGGTTCATGTTATTACTATGAAATGCTAACAGTCTTAAAGAGCAGGACACCAGCTGCTGAAGCTTTCAGATCCCCAAACAGGAACTGTAGGATTATTGCTGCAAACTAGAAAGACACTTGCAATATGTATCAAGTAAAAAAAAACATTGTTTTGAGATGAGTTTAGATTTAGTACATCTTGAACTACTATGTACACTAGCTTCCTGTGCTATCATTTTTTAAAGTAACAACACCCAGAACTCCATAGGGTAATTTTTGCTTCTTGATCAGTCCTAGAGTAATTCTCAAAACTATTTGAGTCTCAGATATACAATGAAGTTACAGCAAATTAACAAGTTACTCTAAATCAGCTGAGGTGTGGTAACTACTTATTTTTGAATTTGGAGCTTCTTGCAAATGTCCTCACATAATTCAGTTTACTGAGTTGTGATAAATCCGATTATGTTATATAGCTGTGGGCTAAAAACATACACAAGAAAAGTTACAGAACTCAGCTGATACAGGATAATGTGGTAAGCCAGTTTAACCTGATCACGTATCTCAGCCTATTTTCAGGGCAAGGGGAAAAAATTAGCTCTGCTCCCTCCGTCCTTTTGTTCCCAAGTGTGCAGAGTTTGCAGATGTGCATTTATTTGTTGTTTCTTAGCTGGGAACAAAATCCTTTTGTGCTCTAAGGAACTTGGTGTCATTTTAGCAGTCCTGCATTATTTTCAGAAGGAACTTATCAGGGCAAAGGAAAAATAGAATCAGAAATCCAGCTGTGGGAGCATGGGAGAGTTCAGATGGGAGCAGTACATCCCATCTGAAAGATCTGAAAGATGTAAATGAGGCTATATTTGCTTCAAGTGTCCCAATACACGCAAATAAAGCTATTTCATGTTGGTGCTCGAATACTGTGATCGATTATGTGAAAGATTTGCTTAATGTGCCAAAAGCAATCCTTTAATGAATTAGCTTTTCTGCAAACTACTGGAGCTACCTGTGCAAGTGAAAGGAAGAAATATTACATTTTGCACCTTCCTTCTGATTATTCATTCTTATATATACATTCTTAGGGAACAAAAATGATAGTGATATGTGAATTCTAATTATCTGGTTCTGTTGTGTATTTAAAAATGGCAAATACAATATTAGAATCAAATTGCTCGGAAATCCAAAGAAAAAACAAGCAGCAAATTTAGTTACTTATATTACCTAGTACTATTTTGTGGCAATTTCAGTGATCTTTGGATTAATTTAATCTTTGGTGCAGGGGAGAGAAATTCCTATTTCTTGGTTTCTGTAGTCTGTTCTTCCCAAATCATCAGATTGTTGGGCTGGGTTTAGGAGTTAGCATGAAGAGTCCTTTTCCCATCTATCTATATCTCAGCTGTTCCCACCAGATTCTATATAGAAAAGTGAAACTGAAGAAAGGAAAGTAGGGAGATAGAATTAAGATCTTTGAATCTATAGACCAGACAATTTTTGTAACATTAAATTATTTTCATCATGACAGCTGCAGTCTTCACTACCATAAGCAGAACTTGTCTGTAGCAGATAGAATATAAAACTTATTTGGGAAGCCAAATTCCTCTTTATGCAGTGTGACATAGATCTTATTATAGGGACATAAAAGAGACAGTCCCCCAGCAGTCTGATTTGCCATGTACCCACCTGGATTAAAATTAGGGAGCTGCTTGTGAGAATGGATGTCACCATTTCCCTCTTCCCATCCCTACATTAACACAACAGTGGAGCCTTGGCCAGATTTCTTACAGCAAAGAGATAAGGGCTAGAAGATTCAGTTCTTGACTTTTACAATAGTAAAAGTAGGTGTTTAACTTCCTCAATATATTGCCTCATTCTGAACAAGGGCTATCAGGAAGAAATGATCAGCTGACCATCAACATAAGGAGATCATAAAAGCATGGCAGCTTTAAAATACAGCCTATACTCTCAGAAACACTTCTGTTGGCTCACTTATAAGCAGATGTTTTGTGTCTGAAGGCTCTCTAAAGAATATCTGCTGTAGGCACTAGCTACTCAGTTTCACTAACTTTGAGAGATGTTTCCCATGTTAGGCTTTGCTCCTTTCAAGGAGCATAAGCCTCCTTCTACATGGACAACCCACCACCAACTGCAAAGTTGTCTTCAGCCAATAAAAGAGAGAGAAAAATCCAAGCTCTAAATTTAAAAAGCTTCTATACATAAATCAGCCAAAATAATACCAGACTAATAGTAGATTGAAATTCTGTTATGTGTATGCTAAAAACACTCATCACTGTTCCTCTCTATTGACCTCTGCTTCCCCAAGTCATAAACAAAATAAGTTATCATCAAGAACACAGCGCTTAAGACCCAACTCACTGCTCATATACATGCCTAAACTTTTTTACTTTATTCCATAAACATGGGCCATATTATTTGGAGATATGGTTGGACATTGTCCGAGTTCAAAAGCTAAATATGTGGGTTTTTTCTCCTCTCTTGATTCTAAAAAAACTGAACTTTGTTTTTTGTTGTTGTTTTGTTTTGATTTTTTGATTTATAGCCTCCTCTACCAAGACAACTTATGTCAGTTACACCAATCAGGCAAATTGAGCAGGAATGAAATTCACTGGAAGACCTGCAGGATGGGATCTTGCAAACAAAGACTTTACCACCACCAGAATTCAGTCTTGGAAATATCCATAGACTACGTTCAAATCAATAGTCAGTCTCCTAAAGGACAAGAATTAAAACAAGAGGCAAAAAGAGACAGGGGAAGGAAAAGTCCAGTTTTATAACATAGAGACAGAGCTTCAAGCTTCTGAACTGTTCACTCACTAAAGGAAGCAAATCACAAAAGGAAAACAAATGTTAGCTTGTGAAAAAAATGCTGTTGAAATAAATCATGTCTGATGTTATATTTGTAAGTACTTTTTTGTGATTGTGACAATTTCCTTTCCTGTCCTACATTGTTCAACTTGTAAAAGAAAATGAGTTTGTTTCTTGTGACGGCTGACTGAATTAAGTCCTGGGTTATGCTAAAATAAATGCAATGGTCAACGCATGCTAATTTTTATACAAAGTAATTTATTTCTAATAATAAAGGAATGTTTTGCAAATGTTGAGACTTGTTTTGTTGCAGTTTTAAGGAGAAAAAGTCCTTACACTGTTGTCTATTGTTTGTTTAGAATGTGCAGTAAAGGTGGGTGTACAAATAAAATAATAATCATGGCATCAGAAGAATGCAGTGTAAACTCTAAGCATGTGTGTGTGTCTGTCTGTATGTATGCGTGCACGTGTGTGCGTATGTATGTGCATGCCTTCATGCATGTGTGTGTGTCCTCTGCAGTGCGTGAATTTCTTTGTTCAAAGCTTTGTGACTATTTTTTCTAATGGAAGGATTTTTCCTCCTTCTCACTCTTCAAAGTAAGTGCATTTTATATGTTTGTAAAGTGAAGGAGTCCTGATAGTAATTATTTTGTATGACTGTATTATATTTTTGAACCTCCACCAATAATTTTGATCCTTTTCGTTTCTGGAACTTACAGTTTGTAAGACTTTATGACAGCTAGACTGGATTAAGCTGAAAGTCTATTCAGCCTAGTATCCTGTCTCTGACAGGGAAATGTAGCAGATGCTTATCTCAATAAAGGTGACTTTGAAATAACGAGAGAAATCAATAGAGAATTTGGAAAGCAGTAACCTAGTGGATATATGTACTATTGCCTTATTAAAACTTAAACATCAAAGAAATGATTGTCCATCTACAATCTTCACATTTTCTGACTCCCATGTTAAATGATTGTGTGTGCATTAGAAATGGTTATGCAAAGATAAAGAGAAATTCATACAGATATCTATCATGTTAATAAAGCCCTCCAAAGGAGTTTAAAAAAAGACAGTTAGGGACTTTCCACTTCATTACTATACCTGTGGTGTTCTATAAGACTTTTTCACTCCATCCAGTACTTTACCATTTGGCAAGTCAATGGTTTTTCACAATCATTTGTTTATTAAATGTTATTTCTCCTGAATTAGCCCAGATGGTTCCTTGTGCTTTTTTCATCTAAGGAGCTGTGTTTTTGTAATAGATCATAAAGAAGCTGTGGTGGGCCCTAATTACATGAATGAAAGTTGAAGTGTCTGAAGCTGAATTTCTTTCTGTTACATTATCAACATTTAAAGTCTGAAACAGTCAGAAAATCGCATGACAGTGACTTTCCATTTTCAAAATATTTGACAAAACATAGTTAGTTTTTCCCATCATTTAAACACCTGAATTATTAACCGCTGATTTCTTTGGTATAATGTGGTATTGTATGTTTGGTATGTGTGATATATTGTGTGAAAATTCCTTTGCTGGGTACTCCACAAGCACATGAATCCCAAACCTATAAACTAATATGCTTAATTTTAAGCATATGAGTAAAAAATGAGTTCAAAAAACATTCATAAAAGCAGTTGTAGTTCTGTTTTGTGAGCTAATATCTCATTAGTTTGAAGCTTTTGGGAAAATGGGTTGATTAGATCCATGTTTTAAGAAGAGATACTTCTATGTCTAGGATGGATTTCCTTAGAGAGGAAGATAATTTTTTTTAATCTCAAAACCAATGCTTTCGGACAGTTTCATTTCAAGAAACCTTTGAAAAGTTTAGTTTTCAATCTACAACAAAAAAGGCTTCAAATATTTTCCCCATAATATCTTTACATGATGTAAGCATAACAACATGCACTTGAAAAAGTGGACCATAGGAATTGCCCTTAAAGCACATTTCATATACACATAAACATATTTTATATATACATAATGATTAGCGTATGATATATTAATATCTTCCAGTTTCAGTGTAGTCCAAAGAAAATGTTATTCAGAACAGATTTATCAAGACCAAAATACATTTTTTTTTGGTTGAACAGTAGGGTAAACACGGCATGCAAATTATTCTGTGCATTTTCTGTTTTATTCTGTCTGCAACATGGAGTATATTAAGCCTGTGAGTCTCACTGGTATTAATGTAACTCATCAGATAAATGAGCACACAGTATGAATTATGGAATGAACTCGGCATTTTCAAGAGACAAGAGAACAGGACTGGTCTACACGTTTCACTTCTATAGAGTAGTTATGTGTAATTTATACATTTGCATAGAATGGTACATATCTGTAACTGTGATCAAAAGCACTTGTTTCTCTTGGATCCCTCTAGACCTATGGAAGAGCAATGCATTTTATTTCTGAATGAAACATCGACTTTGCTTCCTTTAGCTGAGGACACTTTTTCCTGTACAGACAGTAGCAGTTCCAACGATTTTTTTTCCAGCAACCTGATTTGTGAGTTCTGCTTCCAGGACTGTGTCTTCACATGCCTCTAAAAGTCCCATTTGTGCAATAGATTGTGCATCAGCTCTACAAGGCCTAACTTCTAGGTTAGATAACCTAAATTTTGTGACCCCACCTGAGCCCTACTTGAGGGATTATTAAGAGACTGCAGTCTACAGCGTCTAACAAGACTGAGGTACCTTTTCTGGCATCATCGTTGAACACAAACAATTCAGATGAAGATGCTAAATATTTTTCAGTGATTGATTCTTTTTTTCAGCTTAATGGGGCTTTGTCTTCAGTTTAGCTATTGTAATAAAAAGCAACCTTTAAAAAAAAATTACTGTAAAGAAAGAACCAGGCAATTGTATAATACAGTTGAAGGAAAAATTCCTATAATTTTGCAACATGAGTATAAAAAAGGATGAACTTCAGAAAAATTGCTTCCACTGTTCTTTACTTTTTATGTTGCAAGGTCCATCTTTATGAGAAGATTGGGGGAATTCAGTCGGCAATAAGAAGAGAAATCCCCGCAGTCTGTTGTTATTGTATCTTTGAATATTCATACAGATGCTGCATTTTTCTTCTTTCTCTATGAAATAGCCATCATTCAATCTTTCTATACTGTTTGGGGTTTGTTTTTAGATGTGGGTGGGGATTTTTTGGTTTATGTGCTTGTTGGGGCTTTTTTGCATGTTTGTTTGTTGGGTTCTTTTAGCAACCTCTGTTTCCATCTTGTTCAGTTCTTTATCTTACAGCATTGACATTCATGAAGCTATAGTTAAACCATTATCAATATTTCCATTAAGAATAATATTATCTAACACAAGGATTTTGCGAGTTGAAACCTGGCACATACTGTCCTACTCTATATGCAAAAGACTGTAAATGGAAAAATAGAATTATTTATGTAAGTCAAAATGAAAAGCTTACAAACAAAATAATCAGAAGGCGGGAACAATTTGAAAACTGAGATTTGGCCAGTGATCCTAATACTGTATGTTCTAGTTATGTACAATACGATCAGAAAAATTAAAGGAAAAATTGTACAAGAGAACCATACAAAAATATAAATGTTCTGTATGCATTTTCACATACCTTTTCTTTGTCTTCCCTTCAAACTATATTTTGAGGGCCTATGGCCCTAATATAAAAATCATTCAAGTTAGTGAAAGTCTTACCTTTAAATTTGCAGGTTTGAGATCAAGCATCATTAAAATAAACTATATCTTTATAAAATATTAGCTTTGAATAAATGGTTGACACTGAAAGCTACATTACATATATATCAATTTTTAATTGTATTTTTATTGATAATTGCAACCCTTAAAATGTTTTGAAATATTCTACAAGCAGCTGGGAGAAGTCTCACAATCACTAGCCTTTGTTCTCATCGAGGACTTCAACCTACCAAATGTCTGCTGGAAATACAATGAAGCAGAGAGGAAACAGTCTAGGAGGTTCCTGCAGTTTGTGGAAGACAACTTCCTGACACAGCTGGTAAGGGGGTCAACTAGGGCAGATGCCCTGCTGGACCTGTTGTTTGTGAACAGAGAGACTTGTGGGTGATGTGATAGTTGGGGGCATAGCGATCATTAAATGATAGAGTTTTAAATTTTTGGGGAAGTAAGGAGGGGAGGTCAGCAGAACTGCCACTATGGACTTCCTGAGGAAAAACTTTTGGGCAGTGAAGGAGCCTGGCTGACAGAGTCCCTTGGGACACTGGATATTCTTCAAGAAGGAAGTCTTAAAGGCACAGGAGGAGGCTGTCCCGATGTGCTGAAAGATGAGCTGGTGGGCAAGAAGACCAGCTTGGCTGAACAAGAGATTAATCTGGCCATATAAGACAATAAAAAATGTTTCTATAAATGCATTAGCAACAAAAGTAGGATTAAAGAGGATCTCCATCCTGTATTAGATGAGGTGGAAACATATTGACAAAGGATGAGAAGGGTGAGGTACTTAATGCTGCCTTTGCCTCAGTCTTTAGTAGTAGAACCAGTTGTTACCTGAGCACCCAGTCCCCTGACCTAGTAGATAGGTGTAGTGTTTTTTGTTGTTGTTTTGTTTTGATTTTTTGATTTATAGCCTCCTCTACCAAGACAACTTATGTCAGTTACACCAATCAGGCAAATTGAGCAGGAATGAAATTCACTGGAAGACCTGCAGGATGGGATCTTGCAAACAAAGACTTTACCACCACCAGAATTCAGTCTTGGAAATATCCATAGACTACGTTCAAATCAATAGTCAGTCTCCTAAAGGACAAGAATTAAAACAAGAGGCAAAAAGAGACAGGGGAAGGAAAAGTCCAGTTTTATAACATAGAGACAGAGCTTCAAGCTTCTGAACTGTTCACTCACTAAAGGAAGCAAATCACAAAAGGAAAACAAATGTTAGCTTGTGAAAAAAATGCTGTTGAAATAAATCATGTCTGATGTTATATTTGTAAGTACTTTTTTGTGATTGTGACAATTTCCTTTCCTGTCCTACATTGTTCAACTTGTAAAAGAAAATGAGTTTGTTTCTTGTGACGGCTGACTGAATTAAGTCCTGGGTTATGCTAAAATAAATGCAATGGTCAACGCATGCTAATTTTTATACAAAGTAATTTATTTCTAATAATAAAGGAATGTTTTGCAAATGTTGAGACTTGTTTTGTTGCAGTTTTAAGGAGAAAAAGTCCTTACACTGTTGTCTATTGTTTGTTTAGAATGTGCAGTAAAGGTGGGTGTACAAATAAAATAATAATCATGGCATCAGAAGAATGCAGTGTAAACTCTAAGCATGTGTGTGTGTCTGT